CTACTAGCTCAGACGGACTTCCTCCGGAAATATCCAAGTATTGTCGAGGCAATTATCTACCACTTAACCGCTCTGTTCTCCAAAATTTGTTGTACAGAAAAGGTTCCATCCACTTGTGACATGTACATTATCGTACTGATCTTCGACCGGTGGCCGAGTGATCTGCACGCCTAATTTGCAACCATAAGGTCACTAGTTCAAATCCGCGTAGGGGTGGGCGTCCTCGCGGTATACTCAACCGACGCGCGACTGGGGTGGTCGCGTGGCAGCGACGCGCCTACAGCTAGCGATTAAATTTATTTTTCTGGATTGCTAACATCCATTCTATTCCGCAGACTAACCTCAATTCGAGGCGCCGGCAGTAGCATGTTTTCGCTTATCCACCCCGCTGTATGCGGCAGATAAGGCGGCCCTTCTCCTAAGGCCACTGCGCGGCAGCCGATACAGTATGGACTTTTTATTATTATTTCCGTAATTCATATTTGGGGGTTTGGACTAGAATACTGCCAGGGCGTTCACACCTGACAGGAGAACGCTCGTGTCTCCAGCCAAAGCCTACGATAAACTATATACCCGGAGGGTAGCGGGCCGCTTACCGTGTGCCAATGAACCGACTCACGCGGAATTGTGTCCTGGATCAGCTAGAAGAAACGTGTAAACCAACGACCGCCCAGCGGTCGCCACGAAGAGGCATCCAGGACATGAGCCCACAGCATAACATTAGCAGCCGCTGGTTGGTGATCTGTCAGCGTCTCCGCCTCAGCACCTTGTGGGCTCTCCTGCCATATATATATATATATATATATATATATATATATATATATATATATATATATATATATATATATATATATAATCAGCAGTACGCCAGGGCACCACATCGACGTTTCACTGCTACGCGACCACCACTGGTCACGCACAGGCTGATTAAACGTCGAGATCGCTTGAACCTATGCAGACTCGAACCTGGAACTTTCGCGCTATAAGGCAGACGTCCAACCTCTTCGACCACCTGCTGAAGAGAATGTTGCTGCTAATCATTTGGACGGGAGCCACAATATTTTCGGGACTAATCCCTCAGCGCTTTTGTCTGGTTGTATCTCAAGTCATATTAGCGCCATGAATGTTCACATTCCGCTTGCATTTGTGTTGTATGGACATCATCTGGTCAGTTACTCACGTTTGGAGAAGCATACATACCACCAACCTAATACGATGACTAGGCTACTATTCTTTTGTTTGCAGACTTATTTACTTAACTTCGGCTAGCTCCTGCAACAGGATGATCCGGCTTCATTAATGTCGCAGATTGCAGCCGCCAAAACACGACGGTCGGTTTCAAGCTCCACGCAGATACTGATGCAATGAGTTTTCCAATGACGAGCACCATGCCAAACCTGGGGTTTCAGAAGATCGACGTCCGATTTCACTGCAGTGAGCCACGTTTTCAGTGGTCCACTACTTCGACTACAAGAACCCCGGCAAAGCAGGAGCGAAACCACGGTCCTAGTGAAGTCACTGTCTCATCTGCAGAGGACGTGGCCGAACCACTTAAGTCTGCGGCGTTGGATGAGCGCTGAGAGCTTCGAAAGACCGAAATAACGCTTACGAACTTCGTCATTGGTGACATGCTCGTGCCACTGCGATTTCAAGATAAGCCGCAGATACCAGTTGTCGAAGACTTCCAGCTTCCGGGCGTCTTCTGATCGCACCGGCCATGTTTCGCAACCATATATTAAAATGGAACGAGTGTTTGCTGAGAATACTCGGATTTTCGTTCTCAGACTAATTTCCGTCCTTCGCCACAGCGTGTTTTTCAGTTGAAGGAGGGCTGTGCTGGCGCTGTCAATGCGATTCCGGATTTCGGATGTAGCCAGATCATTGAGAAGAATAGTGGATCCAAGGTACTTGAATTCAGCAACAGACCTAATGGGTTGCCCATGTAAGGATAGCGACGGGTCGAACTGGGTGGCTGATGATGAGAACTACTTCGTCTTGCTGATGTTGATCTCGAGGCCCATCATTGAGGCTGATTGGTTGACCCGATTTAACAGTGACTGTAATGATATAGGATCTTCTGTAAGGATAGTGATATCGTCTGCAAATTCTAGGTCTGATAGCCAGAAGTCAGGGCTAACTTGTACACCACGATAACCCTCAAGAGCATGATGCCAAACCCAGTCGACTGCGAAGTGGAATAGCACTAGAGAAAGTGGGCAACCCTGTCGGACTCCGGTAACAACATCAAATTCCTTTGTTTCTTCTCCATCGACCGAATCCGGGCCTTCGTGCAATGGTAGTATGATCTCATCAAGTTGACGAGTTTAACCGGCACACCGTCGGCAAATCGGATTCTCCAGTGTGTTTCACAGTCAACTGAGTCAAAAGTTTCTCGAAAATCAACGAAGCAAACAAATGTGGGCTGCTGGAACTGGTAGCGGTGTTCGAGCGCCCGAGGTAAAGTGAAGATTTGGTCAGTGCAGCCTCTGCTTAGATGAAAGCCACCTTACTTATGGTGAGTTCGCAGGTTTCTCTCATTAGCAAAGCGGAAAAGCAAGATTCATGCGAAGGCTTCCGCAGTCAAATCGATTAGGCTAATCTCGCGATAATTACTGCACACACTGTTCGGTCAGCTTTTTAGGAAATTGCTGTAGTACTGAGGTACTCCACGAAGAAGGCCAGATTTCGGTCTCCCATATCGAGCAGAAGAGCTCGTGCAAATGGTAGACAAGACTCGTAGATTTCGGCTGGAATCCCATTTGCTCCAGGAGCTTTCTTCGGCTTCAGTTGACGGAAGATATCTGCAACTTCTGTAGAGAATGGCGGTGAGCAATCCGCGTGATATCGTGACTGGGTAAATGCTGAAATAGGTGCGGTGGTGTGTAGTGAACGGTTTAGAGTTTCCTAAAATGCTCTACCCATATAGAAAGTTTTCATACTGTATCTGAGATGATTTGGCCATCCGAATTGCGCAATATCGGCTGTGGTGTACAGCGTTTACGGAAGCCAAATGGATGAGGCGAAATATGACCTAGATTGCCAGAATTTGATGCGGCCTCCATGTTGCCTGCGATAATAGACCAGTAGCAGTTGCGATCATTCCGTGCTGAGCGGGTTGCCTCACGTCTCAAGCGACGGTAGTCTGTGGAGTTCGTGAGATCAGTTTCTCTCGCTTTAGCGCACAAGCGGACACTATCTCCAGTGATCCAGTCTTACACAGACTTATAGGTAAAGCCCAGGGTAGATAAAGTGACGCGTTGAACTGACGATTTTAATCTAGACCGATGAGCATCGACAGATTCCTCTTCTGCAGGTACGAAGCTTAGTTCACTAACAGAAATTTCAACTTCTATTGCAGCTTCAGGGGATCAACAGCAGTCAGTATTTTCCAGTGGGTTAGTGTTGATACGCTTTGGTGGAAGGGTCTGCCGGCGTATTGTGAGACGGAGTCTGAATTTGGTGCGCAGGAGTACGTGGTCCGGAACACCTTTATTATCCGTTTCAGCCCCTCTGTACGCTCGACAGTCATCGATGGAGGACATCCACTGGGATCGGATTAAGGTGTACTCTGTCTGGCTAGCTGTACGACTATCATTGAAGTATAACGTCAGAAGAGGCTTCCTGGGATGCTGGAAGCGAGTATTGGTTATATTCAACCGGATAAGGTCAGCGAAGCTGAGCAAGCAGTGTCCATTATCACAGCGCTCTCCCGAGTATGTGACGGGTCTGATCGTTCCTCGGCCCGGTTCGTGTATTCCAGTCTCCGGCAATAGTGAGTATGTCGCGTTTTGGAACATGGTTCACCACTGTTTGAAGCGAACAACTGCTGTTCTAGCTGCTACTGTCTTCCTTGAAAGGAGGGCGTTGTGGGCCTGACAACTGAGAGCCATGGCGACCCCAGGATTTCCATAATTATCTTCCGGTCAGCTGCGTTAAAGCCAATATGAGGTGTCTACTCCAGGGACTTTGATTTATCGTTATCTAAAACCGAGTATTCGAGACTCGGACAGGCATGCCATATCGATCTGGTAGTGATGTAGTGTGCGCATGGTCAACGCTTGGCTTCCTACAGGGTTCTGACCTTCCAGCATCCAATGAATAATGTCATCCGGGGATTGAGGGAATTAGCTAGCTTTGTCGTCATTCTGGCCACTGGGTCAGCGTAGAGCGCGTCGCCTACCGGGAACGCTTTAACATGAGAATGATCGCGGATAATGGACATGTCATGAAGTTTCGTGGGGATTATGGGTACCTATATGGACCCCAACCTCATGCGGCTTTTGTTTGAGTGTTCCTTTCTAACCTTTGCACAGATAGGGGCTACCTACAAGGCTGCAGTGGTCGGGGAAATCGTTTTAACTTCTGGCCGTTGGATCTAGGGTCGATCACTTCCGCCCAGATGTCAGGGCTGACGTTGCACGCGAGTACGAACTCACCCAGAATAGTGTTTGCGGCTACCCTCACCTGTTTTAGCCCACCTGCCTGACGATTGACCCGGGGTCTGGCCGCTGTCGCGTGCAAGCTGCAGGTGAGAGCTGGATGATAAGTGAAAGAGGCGGACTACTCCGGAGGGTAAGGCAGATCCTATACCAGGGGTCATACTCCTCCCTGGCACTCCGGACACCCCGCCCTGTTGGTCCTAGCACCATCACGAAACCCACACTCTTTTGCGGTTCTGATCGATTCTCATTGTATGAGCGGGCACCTTGGAATCAACCCCTTACACTGAAATTCGAAACCGTATGTGAAAGCGTGACTTTCCAATCAATGCTACAATTTATTCAGTTTTCTGTAACCCGGCCCCTGTAATACAACCTAACACAACACCACCCTTTACATCAGTCCACATACCCCTGCGATTTACCGCTCATATCGTGTTTAATTGATGTAAATATAAAGATCGCATTTCAGTGCACGCATGTTCATTCTTTTCAATGCCAGAAATATTGTGCCCTCGTTCTTTTCCAAGTGGAATTATTCTCTTTTCCATATCCTTTTTAGATCCTATTTTCAACTTCTACCATCAAATTGAATCCATAATCTTTTATATGTTTCACGCTTACTTTTGCACAATCTATGTCGACCCTTAGGGGCACTGAGTAAGTGACATATTCCCTTTAACATCAAGGAGTAGAGAATTGTCTTTACACGGTTTTGAGGAACCAAATTTTGTCAGCAAAACTGAGTACAATAATTTCAGAAATCAATACTCAGCCACACTCACGCGCCGCCGGTCACGATGGGACAGTCAGGTAGTGACGGACCGTCTTGAACGAACCAATCAATGTATGTTATCTGCTTTGTAATTTTTCTTCGCTTAGTTAAACGATTCTGCAGGAAAGGTATTCCACCCTCCAATCGTTCGGAAGTATGTGAGAATCGGTCAGGATTTTTATTGTTTTCTAGATGTGGATGGTACTTTCTGGAGCCAAATTTCGTATGAAGGACAATCCTCATGTTTACCGAGTTGCTGCATCCAAGCAACCCATTCAGAAGCTTTTGAGTGTCATTCTAGCTGGTACGTGTTTTCCGAACTCTATGGAAAAATATTTCTATCGATGAACGTTGCGCTTACTTCCGCCGTGTTTGCGCCTCTCTATATTCGTACAAAGTTCTCTCGTTTGAATCCCGTATTACTTGTGTCTGTGCGGCCTATTTGCTAACGAACATGCCTCAAAGCAGTTCGATTCCAAGATTGTCCACCTGGATACTATTATATCACTTGACATCCACTCTTTACTTGTTTGCTTCATTGTTACTTTGCTGTCAGTCATTTCCGTTTCGTAATTTTTTTCGACGCAACTCGGGGTGTCTGGTTCCCATCAGCCAAACCACACGTTTCGAGTGATTTACTGGGCATACTACCTTCTTTCTTTCATGCTTTGTGCTCTACAAGAAAACAAATGCTCCTGCTCTCTATCGTACGCACGAAGACCGACTGAAAAACGTAGAACACATAGAATAGCATGTCTACCAGTGGATCCATTTCAAGTGCTTCTGATTGGACTGGCGCATGGCACAGCACACACTTCCCGTATTTTGCACCAGCTTACTGGATACAGATGTCCGAATGCGGATACATTTCTTTAGTTCCCATTACCACTGAAAATCCGGCCGAAGTAGCGCTGATCTACCTACCATTTTCGTTATTTATCTCTCCAGTGGTTCTGCTACTCGAATAAGTGACTACATTCATTGATAGTATATCTGTGTTGCTTTTCCGTTAACTCACTGGTGATGTTGGGATACTGGTTTGTTGTTGCTTCAGTGTGCACGAGGTGCAGCTACATTAGTATCATCGTCAGTCACGTCAACTTCATATAACCATCTCCCATAGAGAGAGTGCATTTTCAGAATTTGACTATATCCAGTGCAAATGTTTTTAAGCAACATCATTGTGCAGCTGAGAAAATTAAATTATGGGTGCGTGACACTCATCTGCATCCCGTTGACGGCACAGTCGAAAGCCATTTTATCGACCTGGAGGAGGTTTCTCTAAGCTACAAAACGCCTACCGATAACTTCCCGCAATACGCGAAGGATCTCAGTGCATTTTTGGAAATCGGCTAAGGATAGCAGTAGTGACACTGTAAATAGTCTAACTGAGGAAAAAGTCCAAAAGCTCAATGAAAACTGGTGAAGCTGCAGCAAATAAAGTAAGTTTTAAAGGTAACTGCCGATTTAAAGGCCCCGCCGCTATCACTCTGGGTGTGATATACTCAGCCGTCGCCTGAAGCATCGGTGCGATGCGCTGCCTACTGCTGACATCTCAGCATCTGGATCAGCATCGTCGGCATTATCAACGACAGTGCATCGGCCATTCGAACTGATTCTTCGCTGCCATACAACCATAACGACCGACAAAAGGAAGAGTACTAATAGGGAGAGAAAAGATCTTACTGGGAATCCTTAATGCCCCAAAGCAAACCTTCAGGGTCAGCAACTTACCGCCACAAACAGCTGCTTACGGTGCAAAGATTTGGCGGCATCAGCGATACAGCTTCCTTGCGCCTGCGTCACAATCAGACATTACCGCGCAGATAAGTCGGCACCAACCACACTTTAAACAGGCAATCCGACTAGAAGACGACAACAGACACGCCACTGGTGTCGACTATGAGCTATGTCCTGTAAAGTCTCGAGCTACATACAAGACGAGTCACGTAGACTCCAGTCTGGAAGGCGAGACGGACCGACGGCAACAAGTTTGGTTGTCAGTGACTTCAATTCCTGCTGCCAAGTCAACTTTTGTTCACCTCGAGCCTTGCACCACTCTGCAACTGGTAGAATAAACAAGGCCCTCCAAGGTAAGCGCTGACGAGGAATACGTAGTAAGTGCCTGAGCCCAAACAACTTATTCCTCGCTACTCGTTGTTCTGAAGAACTAGCTTGGATATCATTGCATAGTACTCGCCTACGCACGTCATGGTTGCGGACACGCTGGTGCCTCCCGACAACAGTAATGCTTCGCAGACAACGATGATCGAAGACTTAAAGGCGCCGGACGTTCTCAGAACAGAGGCCAGATTTCATTCACATAAAATAGAATGGCACTGACTGTGGCTTTGTAAACGGGGCCTTTCAAATGCAGGGAAACCCCTTTCTAGCGCCACATGTCGCAAATTCAAGAAGGCAGTTCTGGCATTTGCAATAGGTGAATTGACTTCAGTTGCTTTGCGCCTATCTTTGCTGATACAGCGGCTAAGGTAAGTAAACTGAATAGCTACCTCGAGTCCCTTGCTATCAGGAGTCAAGCGGTCATCAAGTGGCTGGTGGTCCGGCAGCAACACTGCACTTTGAAGTGCGAAGCGCATGCAAAATAATGAGTCCACCTTATAGAGATTATTCATGGTTGATTGCGCTGCCCCAACATCGTCAAACAGCAAGATGATTTCATCCGCATAATGAATATCAGCTAGCTTTTCACCCAACAGCTCCTCAGCGCTTGTATCGTAAAATTTCGCGAGGAAACACTCCATGATAGTCCACGATGAAGTTGAACAAAAATGGGGAAACTGGACAACCCTGGCGAACGCCACATGTTGTCAGAAAGCTATCTGACTGGTTACTGTGGACTCTGACACGGCCTATAGTGTTCGTGTATAAAGCAGGTAAATTGTTTACATAATTCATGGGAGAGCTTTTTCGAGCAAGTATTTCGAACAGAATTCATCGATCGACTGAATCGAACGCACTCTTGAAATCAAAGAATACAGCTATTGTCGGTCTTTGGTATGTGTAGCGCTGCTCTAGCACCTGCCGCAAAGTGAATATATGGTCCATACAGCCATGTCCTGGGCGGAAACCAGGCTGCTCTTCCCAAATCCCTGATTCCCGTTCCGTAGTGTGGCGACGAACGAGAATTGAGGCCCATAGATTTGTCACAACTTGTGTTAGACTAACACCCCCTGTGGTTAGAACAGCCTGTGCGACTGCCCTTCTTTTGTATTGCCACCATAACCGATTCACTCCAGTTAGCCGGAACGGTTTCCTCCTTCTATATATTTACCAACAGAGAGATCAGTGCTTTGCAGAGGACCTCACCTCTATCCCTTTTTAGTGCTGTGCGAGGGAATCCGGCCCAGAAGCATGAAAACCGTTGAGGGCTGTCGTCGCGTCTCCAACCTAAGCCTTCGATGGAGGCTCTAACTGGCCATGGTTCATCCTGCGTCACCTGAGTAGTAGGTCTGGGAGCAGGGGGCCATCTGAACTGATCTTGAGAGTGTTCCGCCCAATGAGCCATCCGTCGCTCCCTATTGTGAATCAGCGCACCCGCGCTGTCTCTGATTGTCCCACTGACGCCTGGTTTGCTGCCACCAGTGGTGCAGATCAGCTGGAAGAGCTCCCGATGTTTCCCTACTGTTGCTGCCCACTCCATTTCTTGAGCCCAACTGGTCTACGAGGTTTCCTTGTCTGTATGCTGCCTCTGCCTTCGCTGGCGCCTGACATTTCGCTTAGTTTCCTTGTGTTCGTAGCCAGCCCAGAGTGCCCTTCTGGATTCCAACAGGTTCACTGACCTCAGATATCTAGTGACTGATACGGTGACGATTGATAGGGCTGCAAGCAGATGCTTCTGCGTTGTGCATGGTGGCCGAAATCCTATTCTACTGAAACTCACTACCATTAGGACAAGATAGTGAAAGTTTGTTACGCAATACGTCTTGATAGGCTTGCCTGACCGAGGGCTGGGATAATTTTTCAGTTGCCCGTCGGAAGGGACGCTTGGTGTGCCTCCGGGTGAAGTGCATGGAAACGCGACAGCGAACCACAGCATGATCAGAGTCGACGCAGGTATTCCAGTATGAGCGGCAATCCAGGATGGGACCACTCCTTTCTGTAACTTATTGCAATGTGATCGATTTGAGTCCATCATTGGCCAGCTATACGAGGACGCCTTGTAGCACTTCGGTGCCCACTGTGTCTAAAAGCAGTGCTACTTAGAAACAACTGGTGCTCCGCACACATTGCAGCAAACGCTCACCGTTGTCATCCCGTTCTGAGTTAAGCACGTAATTACCACCCAGCTGAGCTTCTGAAGAGCTCAGACACCCTACTTGTGCGTTCATACCTTCTGCAAGTACTATAATATTTGAACTAATAGCATTGCTTAGTAACGTGTTCAGTTCGTGATAGAATGTGTCCTTGGCAGCATCGGTGGGAACATAAACGGAAATCACAAACAATGAGCGTTTTGTTTCTTTTTCGTGAATCAACCTTAGCGGACGTCGTCAAACGGTCTGTACCCAAACGGCAGTTCACCGGAATCCAGTCAACCGACAATGGCACAGCCTTGGAGCTAAGAATGGTATCTTGCCCAGCTTGACCAATGAGTGCTGCATCAACGTCTCTGGTTGCCTGCAACCCATAGCGAGAAGACAAGCCGTGCGCAGTTAATTCACCAACCCTATTAGGGTCATTGATCTTAGTCTCGGGCACACAACACATATCATTGTCCAGTATGTACAAGGTGCGTGCGAGTACAGCCTGTTTGTTCGTCTTCGGGTGCGAACGCCGCCATGGAAACTGGACAGTGTGGCTTTATAAGGGGCCGTGGCTGATAGACATCCGGTGGGTGTTGCGGGAAGGTTGCTGCAAATGGTTCTACTCCAGTGGCACTTCGGTTGTTATTAATTAAGCTGGGAATTATAGGAGGAAGGTTAGTAATGGGGGTCGGGATGGGAGTAAGAGGATCAGGTGAAAAAGAAAGAAGGGAGGCACCAGCAGTAGCATGTTTTCGCTTATCCGCCCTGATGTATGCAGCAGATAAGACTACCCTTGATAACCTGCGCGACGGCCGCTGTCGGATGTATTTAGAATTTGGGGAATTTGTTATGGTTGTATGTGGGCTGAGATACTGCCAAGGCGCCCAGACCTAGGCAGGGGGACGATTAGAGTCATCATCCAAAGCCTTTGGCTCAAAAGCCTGTCCGCAAGTCAACGGGGAGGTGGCAAGGATTTAATTTTACAGAAATGGATGTCATCCCATTTCAAACCCCTAACCTGCATGACCTGGAGACT